CGTCGGAGGTTCTGGCCGTCGGAAATCCGTCGGCAATGATTCCGACYGATTTCCGACGGATTCCAGTTATCCCTTTTCCGTCGGAAATCCGTCAATATTTCCAACGAATTTCCGACGGTTTTTAATTTCTGACGAGATAGAACTGACGGACCAAAAACGTCGGCAAGCCGTCGGAATAGGGCTTATTCCGACGGTTTTGGCCGTCGGAAACGGCCCTGTTTTCTTGTAGTGACCATAACGAAATGAATAAATGGTTTGTTGGTTCAAAAACAAATAATCCAATTATTTGTGATAAGATCGAATAACAAGCTAAATTTGAAATTCCGACACAAAACAAAATTATATCCTAAAATAGTTTTCTACAAATAATAAACCTTTTATTCGGATTGGTTGATATTATATGGTCGGGCATAAAATAAATTTTGAACAAATGTATTTTATGCACATACCAATGTTTAGAACAAAAATGTAAGATATTTTTTTTTTATCGTCTTGATTTATTATTATTACAAATATTACAAAAATGTTGGATAGTGTTCGGTTTAACATTTTTATGGTTGTAAATATTCATTTAAAATATGTGGTCACTAAACCATGGAGCTGAAAAGCCCCCGATTATCCTGATTTCTGAATGTGTAAAGTTGAAAAAAAAATTTCATTTTCAAAGAAAGTCATTGCTCGTTACAGAATTGAAGTAACACCTAATATCAACAAAATACATTATGAAACCAATTTAATGCATGCTTCGATAAATCACCGGAGCGTAGACATCACGCGCGGTCCTGGGAGTAAATAATACTGTATGAAAATCCCGCAAATGTCACGCGAACGTTGTCGCTTTCACACTCCGAATGACGTGTCATATTAAAACAAAGAGTCAATACTACCAGGTCAGCATTAGATTCCACATAAGTGCCAGATGTCAGCAGTTGTCCTCCCGTGTCACCGTAACGTCAGTGTAGCAAGTGGGACCCACATTAGGCCAAAGAAGAAACTTTTAGTGGTCCCACTTTCGACCAGAGCTTTCAATCTCAGCTGTACGATTCTTTTACTGCTTGCTGACTAATAATTATTGTATTTAATTTTATTTGGAATTTTTCATACTAGTAAAATATTTACTACAAAACTATTTTTCGTTTATACTATACTTAAAAAAATAAAAAATTTAGTGTTCACATCAATACCTTGACAAGGGAGCCGCGCAATTCGCTCCGCGATTGAGACGGGCCCATCCTCTTATCCTTCGCAGGTTTTCTTTTGTTTTCCTCTCACTCCCATTTTATTTCAATTTCTTGTATTTATTTGCAAATTGTATATCTAAATTTGGTTTTAGGGAAAAAAAAATTAGAGGTCATTGTCCATCTAAATTTTGTTATCGACGGAAAGTTAACAGGTTTAGTGGATTATGCTGACTAGGACAAAACGAAACAGCTACCCATCCCATATTTGAATTGTCTTTTTGGGTAATCAGATTCTTTTCTTGGTGATGTGTTTTTTAATGGTGAGAAAAGTGGAAATATGAAACGAAATTCTAAATATTCTCATCGGAAACTTCAAATGCGAATTACGGCAAATAGTTAATAGTAGTAGTACTGTTTTTCATGGGATACACACCAGCACCTCGGATATATCATCCGTCCTCATGTGTCCCTTTTTCTTTTACCTCTTTGTTTTTACCCTTTTTCTTAATAAGACATCCAACATTTACTAAAATAATAGTGTATGATTGGAATCATAGATTTATGTAGAAATTGTGGTTAGGTTTAGCTAATTAGAACATCTCCATTAATAGGAATGAGATATTCTTAACAATTTTTTACTAATTTAATATTTTCATTCTAATTGACTTTATTTATGATATTAAAATTAATGTTTGAAAATAAAATTGAACTAATTAGATAGAAACAAGTGTGATTTGAGTCTTTTATGAGTATCTCATTTGAGATATGTGTTTTTCATTCTCTCTCTTTCTTTTCCAAATTTTTGTTAATATTTTGATATGAGAATTAGATACTTTTGATAGAGATGCAAGTAGTACATTGGTTGAGTTTCTATAGAAGATATCTAACTAATTTAATATTAATACTTTTAATATAATTAAATTATTTAATTAAATAAGAAAAATTGAACCACTTAAAACACTACACATATGATGACAGGTTTCTAATATTTAGACACCTACACTTAGAACACTACACATATTATTTATCTCAAAGTTTCTTCTTTGGAGTTCCTTAGAGCATGTTTAACCATAAACCCTTCATGGGTATCATTAACATTTTTAGTATTAATTTAATTAGTATTTTAATGAATGAGATTGATTAAGTTTTTTGTAAGATTTGTAGGTTTAATGGTGAAATTCGATGGGTATCACTAGAATAAAAAATTAATTTTTTTTTTTTG